TGTTACCCAGGCTGGAGTGCAATGGCGCCATCTCGGCTCACCGCAACCTCCGCCTCCTGGGTTCAGGCAATTCTCCTGCCTCAGCCTCCTGAGTAGCAGGGATTACAGGCACGCACCACCATGCCCAGCTAATTTTTTGTATTTTTAGTGAGACGGGGTTTTACCATGTTGACCAGGATGGTCTCGATCTCTTGACCTCGTGATCCACCCGCCTCGGCCTCCCAAAGTGCTGGGATTACAGGCTTGAGCCACCGCGCCCGGCCTCCTTCTTTGTTTCTACAGGGTCTAGCTCTGTCACCCAGGCTAAAGTGCAGTGGCGCAATCTCAGCTCTCTACAACCTCCATCTTTTAGACTCAACCGATTCTCCTGCCTCAGCCTCCTGAGTAGCTGGGATTATAGTCATGCACAACCACACCTGGCTAATTTTTGTATTTTTTGTAGAGAAGGGGTTTCACCATGTTGCCCAGGCTGGTCTCGAACTCCTGGCCTCCAGTGATTCACCCATCCCTACCTCGCAAAGTGCTGGTTTTCCAGGCCTGAGCCACCTGCACTCAGCAACTGTTCCTCTTGTTGGTGTCTTTTAATAAGCAGGAGTTTTTAATGCTAATAAATTCCTATTTGCTAATAAATTCCTCTTATGCCGTTTGCTCTCTGTATCCTGTCTAAGAAATCTTTGGCTACCCACATACTGTGAAACCATTTTGTGATTTCCTTTTTCTAGAAGCTTTAGAATTTAATTTGTATGATTTGGTCTGTAATCCATCTCAATTTAATTTTTGGATATGATGTGAGGTAGGGATCAGGGCTGATCTATTTTTCCATACAAATATCCACATGGTCCAGCACCACTGGATTACCCTGGAAGCCAGTGACCATGTATGCATGGAGCTGTTTCTGGGCTTCCTGCTCCGTTGATCTAGTTGTGCTTTTCATATGGCAGAGAATGTGGCACATTACAATTATTTGAGATGGTTACTCTCATCACCATTTTTAAGCACATACTATTTGCTAAGCACTGTGCTAAGGGTTTATGAAGCATCATCTTACTGAATCTTCATAACAGCTCCATGAGGCATAGAGGTGTGTTGCTTTCCTGCTCATTCATACAGAACACAAAATAGCAGATGACCCAAGATTTGAACTTGGGTCTAATGTGACACCAGAACCCAATCACTGCATGACACTGTCTTGCCATTCAGTCCTAAAATGGGGACATATCTGTTTATTAAAATTTATTCTGGGCCCAGCACAGTGGCTCACACCTATAATCCCAGCACTTTGGGAGGCCGAGGCAGGCAGATCACCTGAGGTCAGGAGTTTGAGACCAGCCTGGGCAACATGGAGAAATCCCGTCTCTACCAAAAATACTAAATTTAGCCGGCCATGGTGGTGCGTGCCACTAGTCCCAGCTACTCGGGAGTTCAAGGCAGGAGAATCACTTGACCCAGGAGGTGGAAGTTGTGGTGAGCTGAGATCACACCACTACATTGTAGCATGGGCAACAGAGTGAGACTCTGTCTCAAAAAAAAAAAAAATATATATATATATGCATTTATATGTATGTATATTTCAACTCACTGTAAGACAGGGGTAGTATATGCTCATCAAAATTTGGAAAATACAATATAACATATTAGGGTGTTCTTAGTCTCGATGATGAGATTTAACTAATGTTAATATTTCTTTCTAGTCACCACCCTCAATTTCTTTTTTTTCTTTTTTCTCTTTTCTCTCTCTCCCTCTCTTTTTTTTTTTTAGAGACAGGGTCTCACTCTGTTACCCAGGCTGGAGTGCAGTAGTGTGATCATAGTTCACTGCAGTCTCGACTTCTTGGGCTCAAGCCATCCTCCCACCTCTGCCTCCCAAGTAGTTGGAACTACAGGCACATGCCACCACACCTGGCTAATTTTAAAAACTTTTTTTTTTTTGGAGACAGAGTCTTGCTATGTTGCCCAGGCTGGTCTTGAACTTCTGGGTTAAGGTGATCCTCCCGCCTCAGCCTCCCAAAGTGCTGGGATTACAGGCGTGAATCACTGCACCCAGCCCCTCAATTTTGTCATGGCTGTGGCTGCTGCCGCTGTTGTTGTTATTATTATTATTAACCTTGAGTGGAACAAACTTGAGCTCAGATCTCAGGGTCTTTATCCAATCACAGCATGATTCTGGGGAAGCCGCTTAACCCCTATTGGTCCCAGATTATTGTCACCATCACTAACCACACTTCTAAGAAGCATCTTTGTGTGTAAGCCAAAATATATTCATGTTTTGGTTTTGTTTCTTTAAGTAAAATTCCCAAAGGTAGAATTACCAGCTCAAAAATAAATCAGTATTTTAGGCTGGGCCTGGTGGCTCACGCCTATAATCCCAGCACTTTGGGAGGCCGAGGCAGGTGGATCACGAGGTCAGGAGTTCAAGACCAGCCTGGCCAACATGGTAAAACCCCCGTCTACTAAAATACAAAAAATTAGCCAGGCATGGTGGTGCGCATCTGCGGCAGGAGAATCACTTGAACCCAGGAGGTGGAGGTTGCAGTGAGCTGAGATTGTGCCACTGCATTTCCACCTGGAGACAGAGTGAGACTCCGTATCAAAAAAAAAAAAAAAAAAGAAAGAAAGAAATGAGTATTTTATTTTTACCTTATTTTTTTCATGATTACAGCCTGGGCAACATAGCAAGACCCATCTGTACAAAAAAAAAAATTAGCTGGGTGTGGTGGCATGTGCTTATAGTCACAGTTACTCTGGAGGCTGAGGTGGGAGGATGGCTTGAGCCCAGAACTTTAAGTCTGCAGTGAGCGATGATTGCACCACTGCACTACAGCCTGGGTGACAGAGCGAGAGCCTGTCTCACAAAAACCCCAAAGCAAACAAACAGAATAACCCCACTGGTAAGGTATCATCTGGACTGGATTATCATCATTTATTTAAAGACTGAGTAATCTGGTAAACCAGACCCCAGAGGTGAACAAAATACTGTGAATGCCATGGGAGGTTAACGTCGGGATATCCCAGCCCCTCCCTGTGTGTGTGTGTGTGTGTGCGTGTGTGTGTGTGTGTGTTTAAGAGCTGGGTTTTGGGGTTGTTGTTGTTTTTGAGATAGAGTCTTTCTCTGTTGCCCAGGCTGCAGTGCAGTGGCATGATCTCTGCTCACTGCAATCTCCACCTCCTGGGTTCAAGCAATTCTCGTACCTCAGCCTCCCAAGCAGCAAGGATTACAGGCACTCGCTACCACACCTAGCTAATTTTTGTATTTTTTTAGTAGAGGTGGGGGGTTTTGCCATGTTGGCCAGGCTGGTCTTGAACTCCTGACCTCAGGTGATTTGCCCCACCACAGCCTCCCAAAGTGCTGGGATTACAGGCGTGAGCCACCATGCCCAGCTGTTTAATGGGTTTAAAAAACAATTTTTAGGGCCGGGCGCGGTGGCTCAAGCCTGTAATCCCAGCACTTTGGGAGGCCGAGGCGGGTGGATCACGAGGTCAAGAGATCGAGACCATCCTGGTCAACATGGTGAAACCCCGTCTCTACCAAAAATACAAAAAATTAGCTGGGCATGGTGGCACATGCCTGTAATCCCAGCTACTCAGGAGGCTGAGGCAGGAGAATTGCCTGAACCCAGGAGGCGGAGGTTGCGGTGAGCCGAGATGGCGCCATTGCACTCCAGCCTGGGTAACATGAGTGAAACTCCGTCTAAAAAAAAAAAAAAAAAAAAAATTTTTTTTTAAGGTTTATTTTTAGAGCAGGGTGCTGGCCCTGCTGCCCACTGGCTATGTGAGTTTCAGTTTCCTAGTCTGTAAATCGGGGATGATAGGACCCACTTCACACTGCTGTCCTGAGGTTTTACGGGATCATACGCATGGAGCACAGCACTTCGGCACATAATCAGAAACCTCTAAATGCTATCTGTGATTATTATTTTGTCTGTGAGAAGTTATTCAGCTGCAGAAAATTGAGAGGTCTTGCAGCCATAAAAAAAGAATGAGTTCATGCACAGGGACATGGATGAAACTGGAAACCGTCATTCTTAGCAAACTGACACAAGAACAGAAAACCAAACACTGCATGTTCTCACTTGTAAGTGGGTGTTGAACAATGAGAACACAGACACAGGGAGGGGAACATCACACACCAGGGACTAGGGGGTCAGGGGCTAGGGGAGGAATAGCAGGGGGTGGAGGGATTGGGGAGGGATAGCATTAGGAGAAATACCTAATGGAGATGACAGGGTGATGGATGCAGCAAACCACCACCATGGCACGTGTATACCTATGTAACAAACCAGCACGATCTGCACATGTACCCCAGAACCTAAACTATAATAAAGTAAAAAGAAAGAAAGAAAATCGAGAGGCCTGAGACTGCTGGTCTGATGGGTTTTATTGCGTATGGCCCGTGATCAGAATGATTTGTTTGTGTGTCTGTCCTACCTGCTAACCAGGGCGTCCATCCAAAATTCCTGTTCGCATCTCACACCGAACAAGCCCAGGAGTCCCAGGCCCAGAGTAGCAGCTCTTTAACCCCCACCGTGAACCAAGCCAATGATCTTACCCGGCTAGGATGGCGCCAAGAGCAGTGATAAACCACTCCACAGAGTTAAACCCCAGGATGCCAACTCCATGGAAACGCTTCAAGCCCAGCTGAGAAGGAAAAAACAAATAGAAAAACAAAACATAAACACGGAGACCTCAGATCATGAGGACATGTGACGATAGAGTCAAATGTAGTCACGTGGAGGCCGGGCGCAGTGGCTCACGCCTGTTATCCCAGTACCTGGGGAGGTTGAGGTGGCAGAATTGCTTGAGGCCAGAAGTTCGACACCAGTGTGGACAGCAAAGTGAAAACCCCCTGTCTTTACAAAGAAGTAGAAAAGTTTGCAGGGCATGGTGATGCCCACCTGTCGTCCTGGACACTTGGGAGTCAGGGGCAGGAGGAGCTCTTGAGCCCTAGAGTTCGAGGCTGCAGTGAGCTATGATTACACCACCGCACTCCGTCCTGGGCAACAGAGAGGGACCCTGTTTCAAAACTCAACAAAACAAAAATAGCCACACGGGGTGGGAGACAGTGTTGAGCCTAAACTGGGGTGTAATATTTTTAATTTTTGTGACTATGGGAGATTTGTTTACCTTCCTCTACATAACACACCATGTATAATTTTTATTTTTATGTTTTGCATTATTTTTATTTATTGTGGTAAAATACATATAACATGGAATTTACCATTTTCGCCTTTTTTTTTTTTTTTTTTTTTTTTTTGGTGACAGAGACTTGCTCTGTTGCCCAGGCTGGAGTGCAATGGCTCGAACTCGGCTCACTGCAACCTCCACCTCCCAGGTTCAAGTGATTCTCCTGCCTCAGCCTCCTGAGTCGTTAGGATTACGGGCACCCACCACCATGCTCGGCTAATTTTTGTATTTTTAGTAGAGACAGCATTTCACCATGTTGGCCAGGCTGGTCTCAAACTCCTGACCTCAATCAGTCCTCCGTACCTCGACCTCCCAAAGTGCTCACGCCTATAATCCACCACACCCAGCCCGTTGTCACCATGTTTAAGAGTGCAGTTCAGTGACACTAAGCACATTCACATGGTTGTGCAAGCATCTCCACCATTCATCTCCAGAACTTCCTCCTCTTCCTAAACTGAAACTCTGTTCATAAAAAACACTCACTGTCAGCCAGGTGAAGTGGCTCACACCCATCATTCCAGCACTTTGGGAGGCTGAGGTAGGTGGATCACAAGGTCACGAGATCGAGACCATCCCGGCTAACATGGCAACCCCCGTGTCTACTAAAAATACAAAAAATTAGCTGAGCATGGTGGCATGTGCCTGTAGTCTCAGCTACTCAGGAAGCTGAAGCAGAAGAATCGCTTGAACTGGGGAGGCAGAGGTTGCAGTGAGCCAAGACTGCACCACTGCACTCCAGCCTGGGTGACAGAGCAAGGCTCTGTCTCAAAAACAACAACAACAACAACAACAAAACACTCCCTATCCCCTTCCTCAGCCCCTGGCACCTCCCATTCTACTTTCTGTCTCTCTGAATCTAATGACTCTAAGGACCTCCTAGGAGTGAAATCACACAGGATTTGTCCTTTTGTGTCTGGCTTACTTCACTGAGTGTGATGTCCTCAGGGTTCATCCATATTGTAGCGTGTGTCAGAATTTCCTTCCTTTTTGTGGCTGAATCAGTTTCCCTCCAATGGGTGGACTACATGGCGTTCATCCATTCTTCCACTGATGGATACACGGGTTGCTCCCACCCTCTGGCTCTTGTGAATAACGCTGCTATGAACCTGAGTCTACAAATAACTCTTCATGTCCCTGGCTTTCATTTTGTTGTTGTTGTTGTTAAAACCCAGAAGCAGGATTGCTGAATCATACAGTAATTCTGTTTACATTTTTTTTAAAGAAACTGCTAGGCCGTTTTCCACAGTGGCAGCACCATTTGACATTCCCACCAGCATTGCTCAAGGAGTCCAGCTTTTCCATATCCTCCTCAACACGTGTGTGTTTTGCTGTGTTTTAAATCGTAGCTATCTTGAAGGGTGTGAATTTATTTTTATTTTTAATGAAAGTACTCAAGGAGTGATATCAGATAGTCGTGATAAGTTGCACAGGTAGGTTGGGCGCAGTGGCTCATGCCTGTAATCCCAGCACTTTGGGAGGCCAAGGCGGGCAGATCACCTGAGGTCAGGAGTTCTAGACCAGCTTGGGCAACATGGCAAAGCCCCATCTATTAGCCGGGCGTTGTGGCAGGCACCTGTAATCCCAGCTACTCAGGAGGCTGAGGCAGGAGAATCTTGAACCTGCGAGGCAGAGGTTGCAGTGAGACGAGATGGCGCCACTGCATTCCAGCCTGGGCGGCAGAGCGAGACGCTGTCTCAAAAAAAAAAAGAAAAAAAGTTGCTGGAGTGTAATGGCATGATCTCAGCTCACTGTAACCTCCGCCTCCCTGGTTCAAGTGACTCTCCTGCCTCAGCCTCCAGAGTAGCTGGGATTACAGGCGTGTGCTGGCACACCTGGCTAATTTTTTGTTTGTTTGTTTGTTTCTTTGTTTTGAGACAGAGTCTAGCTCTGTCACCCAGGCTGGAATGCAGTGGCTCAATCTCAGCTCACCGCAACCTCTACCTCCCGGGTTCAAGCGATTCTCCCTGCCTCAGCCTCCCAAATAACTGGGGTTACAGGCACCCACCCCTACACCCAGCTATTTTTTTGTATTTTTTAGTAGAGACAGGGTTTCGCCATGTTGGCCAGGCTGGTGGGGAACTCCTGACCTTGGGTGATCCACCCATCTCAGCCTCTTAAAGTGCTGGGATTACAGGTGTGAGCCACCACACCCGGCCAAATTTTTGTATTTTTAGTATAGATGGGGTTTCACCATGCAGTCCAGGCTGGCCTGGAACTCCTGACCTCAGGTGATCCACTCGCCTTGGCCTCTCAAAGTGCTGGGATTATAGGCATAAGCCACCGTGCTCGGCCAGGTCTCCAAGGTTTAGGGGAGGAGGGGGACCTTTAACTGCATGGAACTAAGAACATGGCTAAAGGAGACAATCTCTCAGGAGAGATGAACTAGCTATACAGTGACATGGTGTGAGGGTGGGGCCACCAAGAAGAAACCCAGCCCAAGCACATGGTTCTCTTTTTTTTCTTTAAGACATGATCTCACTCTGTTGCCCAGGCTGGAGTGCAGTGGTGCAATCACTTGTCACTACAGCCTCGACCTCTCAGGCTCAAGTGATCCTCCCGCCTCACCCTCCTAATAGCTGAGACTACAGGCACGTGCCACCGCACCTGGTTAATTTTTGTACTTTTTGTAGAGACTGGGGTCTCACTATGTTGCCCAGGCTGGTCTTGAACTCCTGGGCTCAGTGATCCTCCTGCCTCAGTCTCCCAAAGCACTAGGATTATAGATATGAGCCACTGTTCCCAGCCTTGTTCCCTCTTTCTTTTGCATCATTTATTGTAGGGGGGACTGGTAACCATGCTGTGAGGACACTGAAGCAATTCTGTGAAGGCCATGGAATGAGGAACTGAGACTTCCTGCCAATAACCAACCATCTAGGTAAGTAAACTTGGAAGGAAAGCCTCCAGCCCCAGTTGAGCCTTCAGATGAGACAGCCCCAGCTGATAACTTGGCTGCCACCTCATGAGAGATCTGGAACCGGAACCACCCAATTTCAAAGTAGCTCCTAAATTCTCAACCCATAGAAACTGTGAGATGATAAATGTTTGTCATTTCAAGTCACTATGTTTTGGGATCATTTGTTATGCAGCAGTAACTAATACATAGAGATAGTATGTTAAGGGACAAATGAAAGATGGAGAACCATGGGTGTGTAAAAATTTGCATATATAAAAATCATATTTTTTATATATACATAATTTATTTCCCAAAAAACACACAAAAAATTGGCAATGGTGGCTGTTTCCATGGAGAGGAACTGGGTGGCTGAGGCTCATGAGTCAGAGGGAAATTTTTCACTAGTTAACCTTTGTATCTTTTGGTGCCCTGTGAATTTTGTACCACATGTATGTGTGTGTATTACCTATTCAGAATGAATGGTTGAACAAAGGAGAATGAATGAATGAATCTTACTTTGATCAAAGATTTCGCAGCCTTCCAACAAGCCTTGTAGTACTGGTTGAAATTCAGAATTTCCCATTTTTCACTGTTCTTGAATGCGAGGGCTGGATAAGTTCCAAATCGGTTGACTGACTCTTGAAAAAATTCAGGGATGGTCATCGGGGTCTCATGGCCTGGTCCGTGTTTGGACAGCCTCAGAAGGACTTCTCCATCCTGGCAGGTAGTCCACAGCCTGGGAGTTACTGCAAACAATCACCAGAGTTGGGTGGCAAATGTTTTTATTTCTTTAATAACTTTGGAGGGGTGGGAGTTACTGGTGTCTTTTTGGACCTAAGGTGCTGAGAGTTGAATTAATCCCCTTTTAGGGTGAAGTTATGTGGTGAACAGTGGCAAGTCAAACTTCCTTTCTCTTTATTTTTTCATTCCCCTGCAAATTTTTAATAAGTCAAAATGGATTGTATACCAAACACTCTATTACCCAACACCTAAATTCTACAACTACAAGCATTTTACTGTTTCTTTTTTTTTTTTTGAGACGGAGTTTCACTCTTGTTACCCAGGCTGGAGTGCAATGGCGCAATCTCGGCTCACCGCAACCTCCGCCTCCTGGGTTCAGGCAATTCTCCTGCCTCAACCTCCTGAGTAGCTGGGATTACAGGCACGCGCCACCATGCCCAGCTAATTTTTTGTATTTTTAGTAGAGACGGGGTTTCACCATGTTGACCAGGATGGTCTCGATCTCTTGACCTCGTGATCCACCCGCCTCGGCCTCCCAAAGTGCTGGGATTACAGGCGTGAGCCACCGCGCCCGGCTACTGTTTCTTTTATCACACATCTGTCCTGCTGTCTTTCTTATGCTCATCTTCCTTCCCTCCCTCCCTCCCTCCCTCCCTCTGTCCTTCCCTCCCCCGCTTTCGATACAGTCTTGCTCTGTCAGCAGGCTGGAGTGCAGTGGCACAATCATAGCTCATTGCAACTTTAAGCCATCCTCCCACCTCAGCCTCCCAAATAGTCGAGAGCACTATGTCTAGCTAATTTATTTTTTAATGTTTTGTAGAGATGGGGTTTTACTGTGTTTCCGAGGCTGATCTCAAACTCCTGGGCTCAAACAATCTTCCTGCCTCAGTTTCTCAAAGTACTGGGATTACAGGCATGAGCCACCACACCCGGCCCCATCTTATTTTTATTATTATTATTATTATTTTTTGAGATGAAGTCTCACTCTGTTGCCCTGGCTGGAGTGCAGTGGTGTGATCTTGGCTTCCTGCAACCTACACCTCCCAGGTTCAAGCCATTCTCCTGCCTCAACCTCCCGAGTAGCTGGGACTACAGGCACCCACCACGACGTCCAGCTGATTTTTGTATTTTTAGTAGAGACAGGGTTTTACCATGAAGCCCAGGCTGGTCTCAAACTCCTGACCTCAAGTGATCCACCTGCCCCAGCCTCCCAAAGTGCTGGGATTACAGGCGTGAGCCATCACGCGCAGCCCCATCTGATTTTTTGATGCATTTCCAAGTGAGCCAAAGCTATTCACTCATTTTGCCCTTAAACACCCTTTCATATAAATCATTCACTAGTGTCACATATTTAATGTTATTTACAGAGATTATTTTAAAGGTAAAATGTATAGGCAGCGGACTGCATATGATTTGGCCAATGAAACATAAGAAGTGAATGATGTGTGTCATTCACGGGAGAAGATGTGAGAGCCAGTGTATAATTCACCATCCCCCATGGGCCTGTCATAAAAATGGTGGAGCAAATGTCAAGAAGTAGCCCCCTCTGTCCCCATGGCAGACGCACAACATGAGTAAAGAGCAAACCTGTGTTGTGTTAAGCCATTGAGGTTGCTAAGCGTAAGAGAATGTCACCAGGGCATGAGAGAATGTCACCAATAATATCCATGCATCCTCCAGAGCCCCGCTCAAGAACCCACACCCAGACTCCCTGCCTGGATCAGATCCTGTGATCAAGACCTCAACACATCTTGGGTCTCTCTTCAGAATTATACATTTGCATTTGTTTGTGTGATTCTGGGCCTCCCTTATTTTCTTGAACAGACCTCATCTGGTTTGGTTCATCTGTATGTCTTCAGCATCCAGCACAATGCCTGGCATTAGGGTCATGGCCCCACAAAAATGTCATAAACGCTTGCCGGGGGCAGTAGCTCATGTCTTAATCTCAGCACTTTGGGAGGCTGAGATGGACGTATCACCTGAGGTTAGGAGTTCAAGACCAGCCTGACCAACATGGAGAAACCCTGTCTCTACTAAAAATACAAAATTAGCTGGGCATGGTGGCACATGCCTGAAATCCCAGCTACTCGAGAGGCTGAGGCAGGAGAATCATTTGAACCCGGGAGGCTGAGGTTGCAGTGAGCCAAGATTGAGCCATTGCACTCCAGCCTGGGCAACAAGAGTAAAACTTCATTTCAAAAAAAAAAAAAAAGGAAGTGTTTTATTTGCCATAAACCTCAGTACTTTCACTATTTTCTGACTCATTTCTTGAACTCACTGTCAGTAGTGTCAAGAGCCTGGACATCAGCCGGGTTCGAGGTCCCACCGGCATTTGGGGACCTCCCCTAGCCCACCAGTATCAAAGCTGTCTATGATGTCATGATGTCCCTTGAATTTACGTCTGGCAGTAAAATGACTGCAACCTAATGTTAACAGGTCACTATGATCATATCCGCACCATATCTACAGGGATGGTTCCTGGGTACTCTATCCACTCCGGCTCACCATGCTGACAGGGAGGTGCTATTGTCAACGCCCCCATCATTCAGATATGCAAATGAGGTCTCCAAAGAGCAAGTAATTTGCCCAGTGTCACATGACCAGTAGAGCAGAGCTCTGAATTAAGTGAACCACTTGCCCTGCTTCCCCAACACCCTATCAAGAATAGAAAGTAGTCCCCAGGCTGGTCACGATGGCCCACACCTGTAATTCCAGCACTTTGGGAGACCAAGGTGAGAGGATTGCTTGAACCCAGGGGTTCAAGACCAGCGTGGGGAACATAGCAAAACTCTGTCTCTACGAAAAAATGCAGAGCTGGGCATGGTGGTTTGCACCTGTAGTCCTAGCTACTTGGAGGGCTGAGGCAAGAGGATCACCTGAGCCTGGGAGGTCGAGGCTAAAGTGAGCTATGACTGCACCACTGCACTCCAGCCTGGGTGATGGAACAAGACCCTGTCTCAAAAAAAAAAAAAGGTGGGGTGAGGGTCAGCAGGGACAGGCAAGGAATGGTTACATCTTTTTAGATCCAGACTCCTCTGCAAAGAGTCTTTGTGGAATCAATGTGCCCCTTCCTCTTTCCCATGCACTGTTTAGTGCCATATACCTTGTGTTTCGCTCATGTCTACTTCAAGACTGTTAGCTGCTTCTTGAGTCTTTGGGGTTCCAGTCATTTCAGGTCTGCAGAAACCATGCCTCACAGGACTGCAAGGCAAAAAAGCAGAGAGTTTAACAGGACTGGCCAAGGGGCTGTTTGACCCTGGGAGGCGGAGGTTGCAGTGAGCTGAGATCGTGCCACTGCACTACAGCCTGGGCAACAGTGAGACCCTGTCTCAAAAAAAAAAAAAAAGAAAAAGAAAAGAAAATGCGTGTCCTTCTCCCATACCACTGGCACCTGTCACTCTTTGAGAGGTGTGGCTCTGGCAAGGCACCGGGAGCTGAGACATCTGGTCACTCAGATGTTTTCTTCTTCCTGCAAAGACAATAAACAGGTAGTCCCTCCTGGAAACCCGAACATGAGCTGCTCCTTCCCAGCCCCCGTCACCCTTTTGGTCCAGCTAGGGTGATGGTAGTGGTGGGAGGCAGAAGGATGGGTGGTTTCCCTCTACAACAGGCCTTCTAACCCATTCAACCTTCTAGAACCTTCCATTCCAGCCACCTCTTGTGACATCACTGGCTGTCTCTGCCTCCGTACCCCACCCCCACCCTGAGAGGAAGCTGCTTCCAGGACTGGGAGATTGCTCTTCTCTTTTCGCACATCATTCATTTGTTCATCCATGCATGCACTTCTGCGTGCGTTCATGACTTTTTTTTTTTCTGAGACAGAGTTTTGCTCTTGTTGCCTAGGCTGGAGTGCAATGACATGATCTCGGCTCACCACAACCTCTGCCTTCCAGGTTCTAGTGCTCCTCCTGCCTCAGCCTCCTGAGCAGCTGGGATTACAGGCATGCACCATCACGCCAGACTAATTTTGTATTTTTAGTAGAATCGGGGTTTCTCCATGTTGGTCAGGCTGGTCTTGAACTCCTGACCTCAGGTGATACGTCCACCTCAGCCTCCCAAAGTGCTGGCATTAAAGCATGAGCTACTGCCCCCGGCTAGCATTTATGACATTTTTGTGGAGGCATGACCCTAATGCCAGGCATTGTGCTGGATACTGAAGACATACAGATGAACCAAACCAGATGAGGTCTGTTCAAGAAAATAAGGGAGGCCCAGAATCACACAAACAAATGCAAATGTATAATTCTGAAGAGAGACCCAAGATGTGTTGAGGTCTTGATCACAGGATCTGATCCAGGCAGGGAGCCTGGGAGTGGGTTCTTGAGCAGGGCTCTAGAGGATGCACGGATGTTATTGGTGACATTCTCTTACGCTGCCTGTCTTCATGTGTTTACAGTGGCCTCCCTCTTGTGTTTTTGTCACTACGAACAATGCCTGGTACTAGGCACAGTGGCTCGTGCCTACAATCCCAGCACTTTGGGAAGCCAAGGCAGGAGCATCACTTGAGTCTGGGAGTTTAAGACCAGGCTGGGCAATGTAGCAAGACCCCATCTCTACAAAAAAAATTTTAAAATGAGTCAGGCATGGTGGTGCACCACTGTAACTCCAGCTAGGGCAGAGGCTGAGGCGGGGGGAATTGTTTGGGCCCAGTGCAGTGAGCTGTGATGGTGCCATGGCACTTCAGCCAGGGCTACAGAGCAAGACCCTGTCTCAAAACAAAACAGAAAACAAGACAAAACAATGCCAGGGGCAGCACACAGTAGGTGCTCAGTAAATAAAGATGTAGTGACAGAATCTTCTGCTGTGCCAAGATAAAAGGACCAGGAGTGTTCCACTGTCTCTAGGGCCTTCTTTTTTTTGGTGGGGGGGAGATGGAGTTTCACTCTTGTTGCCCTCGGTTCCCTGCAATCTCTGCCTCCTGGATTCAAGCCATTCTCCTGCCTCGGTCTCCCGAGTAGCTGGGAGTACAGGCGCCCACCACTATGCCCGGCTAATTTTTTTTATTTTTAGCAGAG